AAGTGGAATATGGAAATGGCAAAAACATTTGATTCCTGTTAAAATGCTTTGTAAGGGTAATATTCTATTCTCACACAGAATTATAGGCTAATTGTGTACACAAGGCTTTTACTGCACACAATGTCTAAAGAAGAAATCCATGTCATAACAAACGACATGATAACAGTTTTTATGAAGATCTATCAATAGGGCTTGCAACACTGGATGAATTTGTTATTGGGAAAAATAGCAGATATTGTCTGAAAAGTATCCCATAGTGGAAGCAGTAATATTACCATATGTTTATGGGCAAAAAAACTCTAATGTGCAAGACTGGATAAATGAGAATGGTTTATTTGTTTGAATATGCAATGAGATACATAAGCATTTGACAGTCAGGCTTCAAGAACAAGATTTGAGGCTTGGTACAAAAGTTGGAAACTGAATTAGAGAAAATGTTCCGACGATAGTTCCTCTCAGAAAGACCACCAGTGTGCCCAGCACTGTCGTCTTTCCATCGCAGCCTTTGATTCCCAGCTCACTGGCCCGTTAATTTATAGGCCCACAGATTGGGCCACTGCACAGGGAGGAGCTCAGACCAATAAGATCCTATTGAAGAGGAGACCAGTAGAACTCTGAAGGCGCCAGAAATCTTATCATCCAAGGGAACATTGAGGAAACCAGGGCTCCTCAGTAAGAGTAGAGAAGATATTAGATTAGAAGATGCTTGTCCTCACATATTTGAAGAACCATCAAAGGGAAAAGGGTATTGGATCTTACTCTCTGGTTTTTAATTTAATTTAATTTTATTTTATTTATTTTATTTATTATTTTATTTTATAGAGAGGCGAGGGGGAAGGGCAGAGGAAGAGAGCAGGAGAATCTTAGGCAGTCTCCACGATTAGCTTTCAACATGGAGCCTGACATGGGACCTGATCCGACAACCCCGGGATAATGATGGTAGCCAAAATCAAGAGTCAGATACTCAACCGACTGAGCCACCCAGGCGCCCTTATTCCCTGGTATTTTAAATGCAGAAGATTAAGATTAAAGAAGAAAATAATAGGAAGGAAATAAATGTGTTTATTGACCGTGGGGTATGTGCCAGGTGTTGTGTATGTGACCTCCTTTAATGCTCAGGAAGTTCTTGTGTGGTAGCTGTTCCCTCCTTATAACAGAAGAGATGGAGGTAAGATAAACTAAAAGATGCTGCTTCTACTAATAATAGCAGAAATATTACTACTTCATAAAAAACAAAAAACGAAACCTTACCCACTTACTGAGTGTCTGCTATGTGTCAGACTATTGTTAATGCTTTGAGTACATGATACCTCTTTATCCTCACAGCAATCCTATGGGACAGGTATTATTTTTATATCTATTTTATTGGCAAGGAAACCAAGCCATAGGTGTTAAGCCCTTTGTATGGTGTCACACTGTTCATAAATCTGGAGTGAGATTCAAAGCCAGACAGTCAAGCATGCTTCACTCTTATGTCATCCGCCTTCTTTCCTTCCTGACCATGTGCTATGTGCTAGAACCAGTACTTGACCGTTTAAATCCTCACAGCAACACAGCAGATTAGGCTGTTATTATTCCCATTTTACAGATGAGGAAAAAAAAAAATGAAGCCCCAAAGAAGGAAATGACTTGTCAGGAGCAAATAACTCAGCCAGCATTGTTGGTTTTCAGGCTCTGGGCCAAGTCGCTTTGGATCGGGCTCTGCTTTTTGTGCACTTGCAGAGGGGCAGACCTTGGATCAGAAACTTTCATAAGTGGAAATATCGGAAACAAGAATAGAGGTCCCGGGGAGAGGAGGCAACCCAGGAGCGCTTCTTCTCTGAAAACCGTGGGAAGAAAACTTGTGTCAGTTAGGCAGGGATTAGGTAGAAAGGGTTCAAGCTTCATAAACAGCATTGAACCCGATGCCCACTAAGGTTTTGTCCGGCTCTGGGATTTTATGATGCTGTGTTTTCTTCTCATCTTCCCATGTCTTCTTGTTTTCCCCGGGGTGTACTCAAATGTATGTGCAAGTCTCACTGTGATATTTGAATCTGGCTCTGGGGGTTAGATTGCCTTGGTAAGATACTCATGTGCTAGGATACTTGACATGATGCCTTAGGGGAAATGTTCAATCATTTGAGAAGTCAGTAGCATAAACAGTAAGCAGTAAAAGTTAACTAAGAGGGAAAATGTAGTCTGAGGGTCTTCACACAATGTGAACAGGTAGATCTTCTAATGGTAGTCACGGTCTCCCTCAGACATACTTTTGTAGTGAAAATAGTTAATGGCCTTGACTTTTATTTTCAAAGCATTTACCAAATGCCCAGTTTGGAAATAGTAGTGTCCCAAGGGTTGTCTCAACTTTAATTATATCTGCTGCAACTTGCCTACTCTACTAGACATCTTATTTTCAACTCTGAATGTTTTTGAGTGGAAATGTCTTCCTTCCTATGCATCCCCCCCTCCCCCAGGTGATATTTATCACGTTATCTTTAGCATGGCTCTGACATGCTGTGCTGTCTTATCTCCTGAAACCATCCCTTGCTTTCTTTGGAGTCTTGTGGGTAATAAAGGACATCAGTATCTCTGGGTCAGAGGATGTATATAAATTTTGCATTTGCCTCTTTATGCCTCTCACTTCCTCCAAGCCTCTCCCTTGAATCAATTCTCCATATCTCATGGGGCGCCTGGGTGGCTCAGTTGGTTAAGCGTCTGACTTTGGCGTAGGTCATGATCTCACGGTTCGTGGATTCGAGCCCCACGTTGGGCTCTGTGCTGACAGCTCAGAGTCTGGAGCCTATTTCAGATTCTGTGTCTCCCTCTCTCGCTGACTCTCCCCTGCTCACTCTGTCTCTCTCTCTCTCTCTCAGAAATAAATAAAACATTAAAAAAAAAGCTATAAAAAAAGAAATAGGGACTATGTCTATAGGTTAGCATTAGGATGAGAACTGGAAAATAAAGATGTAGTTTTGTAGATATGTGTACATACCTACGTATATATATACGAATTTATTCAAATATTGAGAAGTTCAGTGGTTGATATTTATTTAATTTTCATCCAAATGTTGGTAGATTAAGTATCAATGTGCACAGTCCCATTCCAGTGAGGATCTTAATGCTTGACGTGTAAGGAGAGTGTTACCTATCACTTTAACTTTTCACTAGCAGCCTGCTTCAGAGAACAGTCATTCATTCTCCAGGGAAACTACTTTTAGAAGACAGGAGATATTGATGAGACTGGAACCACTCAGACTGAGTGTAATAGAGTCTCTGTAATGGAAAGGAAGACACCAAACATTTTTATATATCTAAAAAAAGTCAACAGTGGATATCATCAGAAGGGTTTCCAGGTTACTCATGAGATCTCAGTGGATTAGTGAATAGTCTCCATGGTAATAGCATTATTAATTTCTAACCTTTACAGGGAAAATTCATTAATTTTTTGCAGAAGCTAAACTTTGTTTTTGGGTTTCCAATTAGACCTGCTGCATTAACCAGTTCACGGTCCATCCTCTCTCCCCCTTCTCTCTTCTTGCTCTCCTTTTTTTCTTACTTCTTTTCCTTCTCTTGTGACAAAGAGAAAATTACGTTAAAAAATTAACCATTAAAGAAATGCCACCAAGACTGTCCAGGTTGTGTATTGATGTCTTTATTCTCTTCACTAAAATTGCCATTGTTAAAACAGATAATTTCTTTTTAAAAAGAGGAAAAAGAAAGAAAAATGAAACAAAGCCTGTAGAGGCAACACATACAAGGAATCTTGTGTTGAGCTTTCCGTGTGTTCCCTGCTGCATGTTAACGATCAAGGGCGGGGCTGTGACATGAAATATTGTTCCTTATTTAATGTTTCACACTCTAATCTCCGCACTGCATATTTGCCTCTTTTGTGACCTTCTCTTTGCCTTTATAACTGCTTCTTTTCATCCATAATCCAAAATAAGTGTATATTCCTACAGAGAAATTAAAGGAAGCTGTCAGTGTAGAGTTAATATAGTTAAAGCATCCTTAACTCTGCTACAAACCCCTTAAATAATTAAAACTGTATGCTTGAAGAGCCAGATTTGCATTTCTTTACCAAGTTTATTTAGGACACTTTGTTACACTCAATTAAATGAGACTGTTCTGTTTCATTTTCTTTGCTTTGGGTTGATCATTTTGCCTTTTGATTCTTATGCCCTAGTGTAATTTCACAGTGCTTAGGTCTCTAAAACTATACATATATTAATGCATATGTAGATCTATACACACCCATTAAAAGGCTTACTATTTGTACTGAATAGAATCTTTGCCCAAGGCATTGGAGCCTTGAAACACATCTAAGGTATAACTGGGACTGCAGATAATTCATTGTGGTAAAGAGCTTGACAAAGTTCTTTTAACATTCGGTGTTGTTTTTTTCTTTCAGTCCTGTTATTTTGACATCACCTTCTCTCCCCACAGTTTGATTTGTGAATCACTTAACAAAAACAAGAAAATACAGGTGTTGAATGGTTGTGGAAAGGAAATTAAGTATAAGAACCACCTAGATCTCTCCACCTCTCAGTTGGCAAAGCATGTGCAGAGTGTTCTCCATAAATTAGTTCATTGCTTAAGTTATGCATGTTTAAGAAGGAATAAATGTAGTTATCCATTTCTTAATGAGTAGAGGGATCAATTGGAGCATGATGAGAGAAAATAGCATAATTTAGCTTCCCCAGTTGGGGTTCGATATCCCTAAACTTCACCATTAATCACTTTACCAGTTTCCTGGGTTATTTCTGATCTTACATGTAAGATATTCTTTCCTTTTAATTCTCCTACCAGGTAAGTAAGCCCTTTTGAATTTGCTCAGTGGAGTTGTAGATGGGTGATACTTTCTCCTTTGTACCCCAAAGTCTCCCTGGTTACAACGGTCCCTTCTGCCTTTGCATCAGTTTGTCTGGGCGCGTTCACGGATAACAGTCAATATGTATGTGCAATGACAATTACAAGGGTTCTAATATACTTAACTGTTATGGGATCTGTTATGTCTACTTCAGGGTCGACCCCATCCCATATGACACTCCAAAACCAGCGGGCCACACGCGGTTTGTCTGCATCTCAGACACACACTCCAGAACAGATGGTATCCAGATGCCTTATGGGGACATCCTTCTCCACACAGGCGATTTCACCGAGCTGGGACTGCCCTCAGAGGTTAAGAAGTTTAATGACTGGTTAGGTAAGGAATGATTGTGTTCTGGTGCCCCCAATTAACCTTTCCCATCTGAGTGTCACTCACTGCGTCCTAATTGAATTAGAGCACTTGGAAGCCAGCTCAACCATTTCTCGTATGATATGCGGTGGTGTCTAGCTTTAATCCAATTCTGTTAATTAAAGATGAATTTTTAGATATTTAATTTTACTGTGCATCCTTTCAGTGCCTGGCCTCAGCGGCTCTGGGGCAAAGGGACGGAAAGCTTTGAAACCCATCTCATCTCACTCATGCTGCTTTAATGAGGGCATTCATTGGCACACATGAGACCTAGAATCATATTTTTAATTCATTGGCTCTGCAATCTTTCCCAGATATTATGAGCAAAGATGTATAAATGACCTGCTAGTAAGAGAGCATTTCTAAGAAATGAAGGAGGATGTGAAAGTCCTTATATGAAGGGAGGGTCCAGTAGTGCTGGGTAGCAGCTTTCCCTAGGGAACCAGAGGGTGTCCTAAAAGCCCTGAAAAGAGAAGATGGACTGCTGTAAAGCTCCCAAGAAGTGGAAAATGAATCCATCCTACATACACTGAGGAAAGGATAATGGCAACTTCGTGGTTCCTGTAGCGGCACCTGCAGGTCGAGGTTATGGAAAAATATTGGCTTCTGGGTCAGGCGGTTGCCAAATATTAGCATTACAAGGAAATCATGGAGTTATTCATAGTTAGATTAGATGACACATCTTTTAAATAATCCTCTTAGATGAGGGAAAGAAGGCAGGGGTTCTGAGATTTTAGAATCTCTGAAGACAATAAGGCATTATATAGTAAAGAGCAAAAATCACTCTGGAAGAATAATGTTATGAATAATACGTCAGCCAATAAAAATTACTCAGGAGATTTAAGCAGAAAGTTTAAAATTCATTTTCCACCAAAATAAATTGAGGCAGGGGTTGAGAAAATTTTAAATAATTGATGAAATGATAAAACGTATTTGTTAATGGAAAAACAACATTCATTAAAAACAGTTAAAATATTAAAAAAAAAAAAATAAGCCTACCTACTAACATAACTATATTGAGTTCTCCTGTGACCTTGCAGATTTATCCACATTTTATGTAGTTGACATCAGAATACATACGTGCTCTTTTACTTCTAGCTATTTTCATTTAATAGTATTGACATGATTTTCAATGACTGAATAATTTCCATGTTCATCCTTTTAAATAGCAACATGACATTAATATAGTTCTGTGTGTTTATTTAAGGAGACATTCCTCTAAAAATGAATATTGAAATTGATAATTTTTTCTCTGATAGCTGGCACTGAAATTTGCATTTTCATTTGTATATGTCTTTTGGCTTCTATTGATTTATTTCTTAGAGTAAAACACTGTAGGAGTTAAATTACTAAGTAAAAGGACATGCAATTCTCCGTGGTTTTTGCTGTATGTTGGCATCTTGCTTTCCAAGGGGATTGTAGCTCTGTACTTCATTAGCAATGAATGGATATTACCAATTTCACTATGATCTTGGCAGCACTGGATATTGGAGCTTTATATTTGGTGCTCTTTTAATAGTTATTCTATCATCTCAAACAGCAGGACACCTTAACATTCAGCATAATCTCATTCTTATATGTAACTCAGAATACAGAGAGGTTATGTGACTCTCTGAATCTCCTTGTGGTGGAGTTGGGTCTATAATCCAGATCTTTTCACTCATCTTTTGCATTTGTAAAATTGGCTTTCAAGTAGATTATCTCTTAATTTTAGCAATTTTTATTTATGAACTGTTAGCAGGCAAAATTACTTGAGGTTGAATTTTGACAGTTCTAAACTGTTCTCTGAAACAGACACACAGGAATGATCTAGCTGCATTGACCGTGTTGATTTGTAAAGAAAGGGAATGGATCTGTGGGAAGTGTTTACAGAAATACAAGACAGGATAGATCCTGGTTATAATCTTGTTTAGCCACTGACCTTGGGCAACTGAGTTAACCTCTCTTTTCCCCTTGGTTTCCCTCTGCAGAACTAAGGATTAATACTACCTGTCTTTCTGGATTGTTGTGCAGATTAATCAGTAAATGATTGCTGCTAGTAAGTTTTTGTGGGCCATTAATAACTGAATGGGGAATGTGGTGAATGGACCATCAACAGATATTTAAAGGGTAAAAACAAGAAGAGGTCAGAGGAGTTATTTAGTAGATTAGAAGTAAACACTGGGAGATTTTATAAGGGAAAGTACTCTGTAAATGGAAATGTGCCGTAACTAAGGAAATAAAATGATAAGGAAATAAAATGATAAGGAAATAAAATGCTGAGGCCCATTTGCACGATCAGTTCCTTGTCTTCTCATGTTGCCTCTAATCTCCTGAGGCAGAAGAGGTCTCAGAAGAGGCTGCAGAACATGAGGCCAAAGGGAGCCCATGGGCTGTGGATAAAGTTGGAATCCCACAGGGAAGGACCAGAATAGCACAGTTACCCCTGCAGCCTAGGGTGCTGTAAGAATGAGAGATGATATGAGATTACACTCTGCCACTTGGCTCAAGGGAAGCCTCTCACCTGAAAAAAGTACTGCTAGCAACAGCTGCCAGACGACCTAGCAGAGCAGAGTCAAGGGTCACATCAGTCTAGAGCTTTTGTCATAATAGAGCATCCAACTTTCACTGGCATGGCTCATTATAGATCTTGGCAGGCCCTTCAAGTTCAGTGAACCTCTAATTCATTTCCATCTTTCTACTCGAGTCTACCTCAATGATTGGAAACAACCCGACCATCCCACCAGCCTCCCTTATTCTCCAACAGGCTAATCTGTTTCTACTACAAGGCCAAGCATTCCTTCTGTACCCATGTCATGCCTCTAAGGTTGTAAATGTTCTCCCATTTTACAGATGGAGAACCTGAGGCTCAAGTGGGTTATCTTACACACCATCATTTAACAGATAAGAAGCTTAAGAAAGATTAAGAAATTCACTCAAGTTCACTTGACTAGTCAACCTGGGGTTGTCTGACATCAGAGTGTGAGCCCTTTTCTGTTACTGCTGTGTGTTATTAGGAGTAGGCTTTTGAAGCAACTGGTAAGCTTGCACTTTAGGCTTGAACTAAAACACAATAGTGCCTAGCAGTTTCATTTGGAAGTTGAGTAGCTGTTTGACCATGTGCTGTTATTTTGAAAGATGTATTTAAGTCCTGCTTGTCTTGAATCTCACTCTGACCTACCAGCTGCAGGGCCTGAGAATTTCCTGTTGGTTCAGAGATGATGGGTCCTGGTTAATTTGTACATAGGCCACCTGGCAGGTGTAAGACCCAAAGTTATTAATACAAAGTGATTTACAAGGTAAGCTAGCACAGCCCAGGGTTTTAAGAAGATAGAGTTCAAACTAGGTACAGTCAACCTTGGAAAAGCAGTATGCCATGTAAGGATAACAAGCTGCAGGGGAGAGCCAGTTTTGAATTCCCTACTTTTGATAAGTTGCTTAAACTCTTGAGACTTGATTTTTCTCTTTTGTAAAATGGGTGTAATAATAATATACCTTATGGTGGCTGTGCATATGCTTGGCTTTGATAAGGCTTGGACCATTCTTTTTTTTTTTTTTTTTTAATTTTGTAATGTTTGTTTATTTCTGAGAGAGAGACAGAGACAGAGTACAAGCACGGGAGGGGCAGAGAGTGAGGGAGACACAAAATCTGAAGCAGACTCCAGGCTCTGAGCTGTCAGCACAGAGCCCAATGTGGGGCTTGAGCTCACAAACTGCCAAGATCATGACCTTAGCCCAAGTGGGACGCTCAATGCATTGAGCCACCCAGGTGCGCCAAGCGTGGATCATTCTTAACACAGTCCTGGCCTGTAGACAGCTTTCAACAAATAATGCACAGGAAGACAACAGAGCCAGAGACAAAATATCCAAAAATCAGAAGGGACTGGCACCATGGATTTAAAAAGTGATTTAGACTATAAGAGAGAGCACCAAAGAGTATTAAGAGTAGAAGCTGAAAACAAGCCTCCCTTACTGGACTGAACGCTAGGACTTTTAGAGCCCTTAGAGGTCCTGGCTCCTAATTTGAGAGATGTGGAAACTGAGGTTGGATCACATGAATTACCCAGGGTCACTCAGAGGCCACATGGGGACTAGAACTTGAATGGGGAGAGGGGTTGAACTAACATGTATTATCTATGAGTAGTAGGGTCTAGACACTATACTTGTTCTTCAATCCCTAATTACATGTATCGTTTATACAATCCTCACAATAAGTGATAAAGTAGCTTCTATTACTTATGAGTAAGCTATTAGTATATTAGCTTCTTTATGAGGAAACTGAGCCTTTATGAAGTTCACTTATCTGTGATTATGATCACAGCAACTAGGAGATAACCTCAGGATTTGAGCTTGAGGCCATCATATTCCATTTTCTGAGGGTTTCTTCCTGTCATTCTCTATTCACAGTCTGGGGCTTAGGATCCCTGCTTGGGGGACCATATCTTGGGTGACATGGTGGTTCTTTGAGTAACCACCTCCCTTAACACATGTACGCACACATACGGATGCTGAGGGTCTAAGGTGGGCTTATGTCACGTTAAAACAGCCTCTGTATGTGAGCTGGCTGATAGGAGGGTGTTGTGACGTGGGGAAGGATTCTTACTGTTTGGTGTAGACAATTCTGATGGCAGTAACTTACAAGAAAGTAAATATCCGTAAAGAATACTGAAGATGCAGCCAGTCACATAAACTCCAAGGGATGTCTAAATTATGTTGTGACATTAGCATTGCATTGCACTCATTCAGTCCTTGAAATAAATAGCCACTGCCTGGAGCCTGAAAATCTTTTCTTTTGTGGGCAGGTCTTTCCCACTTAGGAGCAGTTGAATTCAAAAACACCAGTGTATTCTGACAGCTGCTGCTATTGCTCCATTAGCCCCTTTCCTCTGAAATCTCTGCCACAGGTTGGAGAATGAAACTTTAAATTTCTATCTCTGCCACCCTGAGGGAGCCACCAGAATACTGTTTTTCACTTCTCCCAAGTCTAG